CGTCTATCACTGTGGAGCTGTAGGTATGGGTAAATACGAGCTATGAGTCTGTGAAATAGTAAACGAATTTGGTAAAATTGATCGTCTGTGAAATCTGGTGAAATCAATGTGCGCCAACCAGTTTTCTCAGTAATTCAGCTAGCAATTCTCGTGCTGTGTTCAAAAAGACGTTTACAGTGAGGGGCAAACTTAAGAAAAACGAACTATAGTTTACCTCAGCAACGAGTTTGAGAGTTTATCATAAGCTTGTTGGTGATGAGAATAATTTAAAAATAAATGTAAGCGTGGTGAAAAAATTGTTCATTTTAACCCTCGCCCATGTAGGGGGGGGGTTGGTGCAACCCCCCCCCCCCCCTGAGGTTTTTCGGAAATAGTGCAAAAACGGCGGCGCGCAGCGCCGCCAAATTTTGGGTACCTTATGGGGCAAACCTTGCGCATCTTTTGATAAAAAAAATTTGACCGGGTCATGTCAGGTCACGGAGTTATGACGTCACAAAGGGAACAGCCTCCGGCCGGATTTTCACAAACTGAGGGCCAACGCCCGAGGTTTCCTGCCGGTGGTACGGACATCGGTTGATGGATCGTGATGAAACTTCCCATGCATGTTGGGGCAAGTATTGGCTATCATATGGTATAAGAAACTTGACCGGGTCAGGTCAGGTCACGGAGCTATGACGTCACAAGAGGAACAGCGTCCGGTACTATTTTTGAAAAGCGCCCGAACCACTATTTTGCTAATTCTTGTCACCTCAATGGGAATATGCAGCAATATTAGCTTCTATAGGGAGCAAATGGACATTCCAAATCCAAAAATACAATCAGATTTCAAAAATTTAAATTTTGATTTTTCGAATTTCTGCCGCCGACTGTGACCTTGCCGACTTCCGGCGCTCCCAACGCGCCATTTTTAGAGCTAGGGAAACGAAATACATACCAAACGATAGAGAATTGATCAAGGAACACGATAGTGAAGGTTTCAAGTCGATATCTCCCACCGTTTTGCCGCAATCGCCGCGGAAAATTTGAAAAAGTCTATTTTTCCGAAAATTTGACCTTTGACCGGTCAAAAGTAGGTCAAATGTTGACCTAGGACCAAAAAATATACCACCAATCGCGAGATCTCGTTGAGAGCAATCCGTTGGTTTTTTCCGCTAAGCTCTACGACGCTCCGTTTTCAAACGCCAAGGGGGGGGGTCGCACCAACCCCCCCCTGCATGGGCGAAGGTGGCAGATCGCCGTTTACGGGCGAGGGTTAAGATCTAGGAAAAACCACATTCCGATACTCAAGAAACTACCACTGAATTGCTAATTCGGTATACATTACTGTGACCTAAAATGCACCATTCCAAGCAATTGTATCGCATTACCAAGTGCTTGAGTCGGAAGCGAGCCTCGGGGAACCAAGTTCATGTTCTAGCTCAATGGGCGGTAATATGATTTGATTCATGTTATCAGGCTCGTCAGCGCGCATTGAAACACTGCGACACCTATTTACTAAAGCAGCTCCGACCATCAATCAAGCCCAATCACCTCGTTGAAAGAGACGACTTTTATAACCGTACCATTCTCCCGTCTGCCAGTCCATCGGCCCTATCAAAATGCCATTGCTGACTGGCACTTGGACGCAGTTTATGACAGCGGGTCATCAGTTGCACAGTGCTACTGCAGAGCCGGGGGCAGGTCGCACCTGGAAACCAGCGTACCAGGCCGGCAAACCATGCCATTGTCGGACGTCAACACGATTTGGAGCTCGGCGATCATTGCAATACAGACGGGCTTGTAACAGTGCATGGCGTGTTACTATGCAATGCATGCGACGCCCGAGGCCCATTGGGACTGTGATTGAAGGAGCAGGATGACGTAGCTAGGGTTTGAACATGTTCCACTTGTTGTTTATCGAACGCTTGTAGTGGCACCATGCACACCGTGAATCGTCAACAGCAATATGCTTGGCCTAAAAATTTGCGGAACATACGCCCACAAAGATAATGATGCCGGATGCGGCAGCCAAACTTAGTACCACCTAGTACTAGAATGTGTTCTTTATTAATGAGAACTATGTAGAATGAGCGACAACATTATGACAAAGAAAAATCATCTCTGGTTTTGTGAAAATCTTATTTCGCTGAATCAATCCATCCAGATGGTCTGTCGATCCAGATGGCGCTAGTCAAAAACGCTTGAATGGCCCATGTTGCAGGAGAGCGTAACTTGCTGATATTTTTGGTGCATAGTGAATTCAAAAGGGTCACCCCTAAACATGTTGCGTGACAGGTTGGAGAAAATGTAGGGTACTTACAGGAGCATTACAGCAGATCACCCACATACCACCCAATACCACACATACCATTACCCACCCCGCTCAACTCCCCCATCCCCTCTGAGACGGCCATATCCGCGGCTCGGGGGACTCACCTGGCTCGGTCGCCGTTCCCACGCTCCGCGCACCACCAGCACCGCCTCGCGGCTCACTGGAGGTACCGGTTCGACCCGCCCGAGACCCAGCGCCGCCGCCCCCCGCCCCGCAGCCAATCAGCGGCCAGCACCGCCGGCCGCCGCTCTCCGGCGACCAATCGGCGCGCGGGCGGCGGCACGCGCGCTGGAGATAAGCATATCATCGGCAGGAGATAGCGAGATGGAGTCTCTGGCCGTCGAGACTGAGCAGATACGCGGTGTTGCCGCGAATCGCACGGGCCGCGTGAGGTGGCGATTAATTTCGATTTCCACCGAGATTGTCCTATCGGTCTGTGGGTAAATTGTCTCCTCATGGGAAGAAAGACATGATTCTGACGATTTTGCGGTGATACGATCAATGGGTGTCATTAGCACTAAAACTGATACACTCTTTCAGCCGACCGAGCTGCTCCGAAGCCTTACTTCAATAGTAGCTGCTCAAATTCAATGCTATTCGATCAAAGAATAATTCCTAAAAAAGCAAGTACTGCTACACTGTCTCAACAAACATACATCCATATGTTGATATCTATGTTGGTCCAGCACAGCACACTATTCTATCATGAATGAAAACTCCCTCAAATGAATGAGACGATCCTAAGGCCAAGTCAGCCGTCAAACAAAGGAGTTTGCCTGAGCGAGAGTGGAGATTCCGGGATCACTGATGCCGTTGATTTTGTTACATAAGTTTATTACCTACGCAACTGCTGATTCAATTGGAAAGAGTTCACTGTTCAACCAAGGTCCAGAAATTTGGCTGTTATTACGTTCGTAATTTCTGTCGGGTTTGGTGGTGGTGGGTGGTGGTGGTGGGGGAGTGCAGGCCATAATAATCACTTAATTCGGCTAAAATCGGTCAGCAGCACTAACCAGCCAATCATGTAGGCTGCCGATAGCTTTAGCATTCCAGTACTGAACTTCATCCACATTACCAAGCATTCCGAGACCGGGACAAATACGTAGCCGGTTCCTTAGCAAAAACTTCGATTTGATGCTGGCTTAGGGCTAAACTGTTCATCCATTTAAAAGTAATCCAGTCTTTCCCTTTTTGTTTCTTAACCCGCGACCTGGTGGGGGGGCTATTTTCCCCCCCCCCCCCTCCAGACTTTTCGATATATCTCCAGAATCGCTGCGCCGATCGTCACCAAACTTTCAGTACCCTCCCGGACATCAATTTTACACATTGTGACCAAAAATTTTTCCAATGGCTATGATAGGTTGGCCGTAAATGACGTCAGAGTGACGTCATGTTCTGCCGTTTTCGACCCAAAAAAGGGTTTCGCGGGAAGAGCTGTCAGGCCTATAGCTTTGCAAATACAGAAAAATGATAAGGACATTTAAGCTGTAGATTGGACAGGGCTACAAAACTGCCATCTCGGATTTTTGAAATTTTTGGATTTTGACCCCCAAAAATAAAAAATAGATTTTTTCGATATAATTACCGAAAAATCCAAAAAGTTTTATGAATTTCGCAAAAACCGGAATATATGTGATAGTCCTTACCGCCTTCCATCCACATACCAACTTTGAGATTGATACCTCTTTTTTTGGCGAAGTTATAGCGAAAAAACTGTTCAAAATTGATGACGTCAAATTTTCAAACTCAATTCTAGACCCCGTAGCGCAAAACAAAGACCACCATTAGACTCCCCGTGACGAGCTGCATCGAATCAATACCCATTTTATGCAAAACTATCAACTTTAAAATTTGACCTTTTTTGGCCTGACCTTGACCTGACCTTGACCTGAACTTCACCAGAAAGTGACCTTAGCCGTACCTGATAGTCTTATAACCAACACCATTGAGTTGGAAATGAAAAATTGGCCATAAAACATGTATCACACAACCTTAGTAAAGTTGGGATCATGTGACCTGACCTGTGACCCTTGGTGACCTGACCTGTGACCTGACCTGGTATTGCCAGTGACCTCTAATAGCAACATATCTACTAGGCAACTGACGCCCTACCGCTGATTCGCGACAAAATGCGTTTTCCTCGGTGTTATAGCCCTAAAACACCCGTGACCGGAGAAACATTTCATCTTTGACCTGACCTGTGACGTCATCGGTGACCCCGAGGTCAATGAAATTTGGTTTCCTGCGACAAATTTGACAGGCCTTTCGAACTCCGTTTGAATTTTGCGGATCCGTCCAGTAGTTTCGGAGATACGAGGGGGGGGGGGGCAAAAAATAGCCCCCCCCCCCACCAGGTCGCGTTATAAACAGACCCCACCAGGGCGCGGGTTAAAAAACACGCACTTATACACTACACTAAAAATACCATACCAAAGTTAAAATCTCGTCTGCGAAATAACGTATGTAAAGTGTTTGTTCAAAGCTGTCAATTCGCTCAATTCAACCCAGTGTTTTGGCAATTTATGGAAAACAGATTACGTTACTTCATGACAACACATATCATCCAAGTGATGAATCATAATTATGTCTGCCCATTCAATACATGCATCGATGCATTTATCTCCCAAACCGCTCTGCGACTCCACTACAAGCGCTCCATTCACCCCTTCCACTACCAAAAAGACTCCGCCTGATAGGCACGGCTGTATTGGGTCTGACCACATCGCCTCCTACAGGTCTTCGAAGACACTGCTCGGCGGTACAGCACGTCCAAAAGCAGGCATGTCGCGCCAACATCGCAATAGATACGCTAGTGCAACCGGCAGCGAACATGAAAAATGCCCATCGTATAATCATCGGTAAAATAAGCACACGTGAAAACAATTTCAGCCGATGCGTTGCGGTCACGAGCAGCTATTCACAAAGCGATCACAGAGGCGAAATGCAGTTGTCACATGATAAGTCTGCTGGAATGGTGTTGATGGCAATATCAGTTGCCCTGCCAAGATGCCCACTGCTGGGCTTGGTCAGGATAAAATATCACAAGTCCGGAATGCATTCAATAAAAATTTCCAGATATCACTAGCTCGAAATGCATTTAATAAAATTTGCAACCGACTGATGAATCACATTTCATCACTGAAGGTAGGAGACTTTTCATTGACTAAAGCATTTTGCCTGAGTGGCATGGAATCCGCAGCAAAGTTGCGCGGTTTACCAATAAGTGTGACAGCCATTGCCCCGTGACGCAGCTTATTCTACGCATATCAGCACTCGCCAATTCATAGCATTTGGAATGTATGAATACCACCACATGCTAGATAAAGGGACCACTACAAATGTACGGTATGAGTAAGGTATAAATGAGCGGGATGCAAGCAGTAGCTACCATAGATCCACACCATAGTAATAGTGCAACGTTTCAGCCGATTGTCTTCTAAAACACGCGAAGGCACAAGTTTCGACCCGCTTGTGAAACTGGAAGGGTGCGTACTGCGTGGGTTGGAGTGAAACTTCCGGAAAATTAACCAAACATGATGAACATTGCATCAAAACGCTTCGTCCCGCGGCACTGCAGGACAGACGGCGCCTGGCGTTTCATACCGTCACACTGGTACCGTCGGCATCACACCCGCGTACATTCACACATGTGACACACCCACTCATGATAGTGCACAGCACAACTGTGCAGCAATGAATGCCCTCACACACCTTAAGATTCAGCTAAATAAGCCCGCTCTGCCGACCCGTACCAACACACACTCACAGTGACCGAGAGCTGATGTCGGTCTACTCCACCAATGGCTCGATGAGACCACCGAGGCGATCCACTAATGCACTTATACCCATCTATCAGTTCCACCGTGCGCCCAGGTCACCTGTGTACCACATCAGGCGCCAGCGCCGACTCAGGTGACCCGTCGCCGACCCGGCACGGGACCAGGCGACACGGTGGAAGACGCTGCCCGCGGGCGCAGCTCACACCTGAGGCTTGTCCAGCTTGGAGTCGGCCCCCATCCCGCTCAGGCCCATACTTTCCAGCCCGGGGGCGCCATACATGATGCTGAAACAAGCACGGGCTGATGTGAATACAAACGTTATGTTATCGAAGAATGCGTTAGAGCGAGACAGGGAAACGGTGGAACGTGGGAGACGGTGGATAATCATAATAAATTTATGACGCTTCTGGCAGTGCAAGTTGCATTTGAAAGGAAAAAAATATCCAACGATAGTTGGCAACTGGACAATAAACATAAGCTGAATCATAATGTAGATAGTTTTCACATGATAATGGTCTTCAATAAAGATAAAAATATTCGAGCGTCACTTCGAAAGAAGGGAACAACACAACCAAATTTGCCAAGCCAAATGAGCCTTCACCGGTAGAACCACCACCAAAGCGGACACAGAGAATGGAATAGTTTTCGGACATTACAACATACCAAATCACCTTCATGCATAATTTTTGAAACTAACTACTGCGCTTTCGGCGAAATGCATTTAGGAGAGTATGAGCTTCACTGATATTTTACCAGGTCGCCTCCAAAATATTTAATCAATTTTTTTTTAATATTTTTTTTTCGAGCTAGTCCGAAAACTATTCCACTTTTGAAAGTCAGCAAACACATCACCAAATAAACCATCACCCAAGTCCAAAATCACCCACTGACGGCACCCATCACCGATTAGTGCACCTTGGTGCCCCACCACGAACCAATCTCCCACTTCCACCGCGTCTCTCGTGGCGTGCTGTTAGTGCGTACCGACTGTGAGTACCGTGAGAGACGGCCGACGCGGCGGCGGCGGCAGCGGCGGCGGCGGCGGCGGCGGCCGAGACTCCCCCGGGCACCGAGCCGCCGCCCTGCAGCAGGGCGGCGGCCCCCGACATGTCACCACAGTAGTGCTGGCCGTAGAAGTCGCTGGTTGCGTAGCTGCCCAGAGCGTTGGTGACGGTGGCAGCAGTCAGAGCGTTCTGACGAGCTGTGACGGGAGAAAAGGAGCGTTTAGAGAGTGTGGGTGAGTGCGAAAAGATTTAAGAGGTTTGTGTGCTAGAAAGAGAGACAAGAGCCAGAGAAGCCAGTTTTCATTACGATAGATAGGGAAGAAAGTCAGCAAAGATTCGAGCAAATGCAAAAGTTTCGGAACACGAATGACACGTTATATAATGTCAAGACAAACATTTCAGAGCGTGTTAAAACAACAGGAGTGTGCTGCGCGGTTTCATGACGTCAATTAGTTTAATTAGTCCATGCAGGGATGTGTGATGACGTGAACTCACCGTGCGACTTTATCATGTTCTTGGCATCGCCGGAGACGTTCTTCGGCTTGCGCTTCCTCGTCTGGATGCCGTCCTTCCGCATGGTCAGGGGCCGGTTTACCTGTGCGGGACACAAGACGTGAGTTTAGTCAGAGCTGAGACTGCTAATGGCGGCGCTGGATGTTGCTGCTGATAATGATGGAGATGATGATGATGACGATGACAATGATGATGAAACCGCTGCTGTTGGTAATGATAAGTGATTATAATGATGACTGTTTCTCTTTTTTTATGTTTTAGGGTTTTCCGATTCCTATCGGTAACTCCGATGGCCAATGTCATGATAAATATGTGCAAATAAAGACAACACGAAATAAACAAAACATAACTTTTTATGTTAATAAAGCAAGTGCTAAACAAGCTAACAAACAGTTTCTCAAGAGCGATCATAAATGATAGGATAATGGATAGAATCATGGAGTGTTAAAGTTTTGTATGTAGTGATTCTCTATAAAAGTTGCCCAGACATAAGTAGGCATACATATAAAATGTGATAACATCTCCCAAATTTATCTTCGTACATATTTAACTGTAGCCTAATCGAACAAGGAGACGCCTGCACTCTGAGTCTGCAGTCTTCTACTCAAATATAGGCTTCTACTGCAATCAAGTTTTCAGAATTTCAAAACCCCCCCAAAAAACATCCGAATTCTATTTTCTTTTCAAGAAAGTGTCAGATTTTTCGTGAAACACGCATTAGGCTAGTGCCTTAATGCTAGTGCGCCTCCCGCATGCGATTGATGCGCGCAGAATTCTAATGTATTTGAATAGGCTCTCGCATGCGATTTCCTGAATACCAAGAGAGTCCGTGTCAGCATTTACTCAATTAAAACGAAAAATATGATTTAATATCTCCCAAAGCTCACTAAGAAAGTGGCGGCCATTTTCTTTTGCCAGACGTCTGCTAAAATGGTGGACCGGTACACTGCCGTCTGTTGCAGACAACATGCGACAACATAAGCCCGTCGAGGGGCCGAAGCTGCAAACCCTGTACAGGTGAAGACAGACGATTGTTTTTGTCATCTGTCAGCGCAAGGGGGTTCAGGCGACAGTTGCAGTCGTTCACGCTCGATTGAAGCTGCCTCAATGGGGAAATGAAATGGAGCACAGGGGCTGGTGGTCACAGCTGCGCCTTGACAAGCCCTTCCACTTAGCTTACACCTGAGTCAGGCAGTGGAGAGGACGAGCTGTGCCATTGGAGCAGGGTTTTTAGGATGTGCGGCGTGCTGCTGGCTGCGGCAAAGCACAGAATGGTCCTTAAACTGGTATAAACTGGTATGAACTGGTATAAACTGGAAGATTCGTACAATTTTCAGTTTGGTGAATGAAAAGAAAGTCATCCTTATAAGGAAGTCGCACATCACCAGAAATTGTATAGACATAAAGCAATTGGGCATAATTTGGGTCTAGTTGCCAGTAAGTACCCTGCTGCAGATGTTGATATCATCATCATACCCCATGGCCAATGTCTCTATCAAAGCATTCGACTCTACACCTTTGATTACTTCACTTTGCTCATACTCCTGCAGTTCATCTCCCCATTGTGACCACCACGGGCTCCGACCTGCCGCCCGTCCATCAGACCTCCATCGCTGTTCATCGCTCTCCATCGCTAGGTGCTCCCAATCTCCGCCCAGGCGCGTGTCACCCCCCCCCCCCCCGCCCCCTGGAGCCGCCCGGTCGCCAAACAGACCGGTCCCATTAGCGCTGGCCGGCGCGGCGCGGAGTCACGACCCGTCACACTGCGTGTCACGCGCTGGGCCGGCCGTGACGCGCCAGCGATGCCTATCGGAATCGGCGGCGACCCGACGGCGGCGACTCGACGGCGGAGGACGGCCGGAGCGCGAGCTGCCGACGTCCCGGCGGACCAGCCTGGCGCGCGTAATTGTCTTCTAATGTCGCCGCCGGGCGGGCGTGCGGTTATCGCCAGCGCTGCCGGTGTTTTTCATTAATCGCCACTCTATCAGAGGGAGGGAGGCGAACAAATTCACTTCTTGCGTGATACCTATCGTCGCCGCTCCTGTGACATCCAAGCTCGGTTCTCGGCCATTAGAGTCGCCCGGGAAAAAGCCGTGAGTGAGCAGCCAGCTACTGAGATACGCCTTCACGCGTATCGTGATCTACTCCAGGGAAGCGTTGCAGTCTTCGTGTCCGGCGGCGCAGCATGGCCGTGCGTGGAAGGGGTTTGTGAAGTTCTGCCTCTTCTCCGGGGATTTTGTAGAGCACAAATGGCTTCTGGTGATCTACAGACTATTTTAATGCCATTGCCAAAACATTTATTCAGTAACATACCTTGTGTACGACACATGGATGAAGCTAATGCTACTTTTTCATTTTGTTTCGGTAGGCCCGTTTGTTCAGAGCGTAGCCGTCCTGTCGGTCTGCGCCTGTTACAGCTGTGATCACCCTTTCATAAATTCTGAGCAATTATCAAATGAAACATTGCAAAAAAGAACTATCGCCTACAACAGGCATAGAAGACATAAATGAAATAGGTGAAAATGAAAAAAAACATAAAAACAAAAAAAGAAACGCGACTTTTACGCGAAGAGCGTCCTTGCAATGCAGTTATAGAAAACGAATAAACATTTAGACACAGAAAGAAGTAATCATCGGTATGCTGGTTGAAGCCAGCCCAAATACTTTAAAATTTAGACAGGCTTATGTTGAAATATGGTGCCTTCAAAGGATGCCGTTGCATTGTCAAACCAAGACAAGCAATGGGACCTATCAAAAACCCAAAAATGAAATTCAGACATGTTGAAAACCGCAGAACCTTGTGACAAAATGCTTCTTGGAAAGCGATGTCAAATACGGATGAAAGCAGTAACGGTGAAGTCAAAAGGTTTCGTGTTCCAAGCAACTATGAAAACTTAAGTATTAAAATGACGTTAACTATAACTATAAGTTGTTTTGAATACCTAAAGCAGCAGATATCGTGAAGTCATCAATTACAAGAGAATGCGAGGATATTCCCTGAACACACAAACTATCGTCATAGAAAAGGCAAATCTCTCCCCAGCCGAGAACGGAGCCAACCTGCACCAACCGAGCGTCTCATCAGTTGGCACCATCACCAGTCACCAGTCGCCTGTGGCGGCCATTTCTATCACCGAATGGCGTGCTCCTCAGATCAAACCGCGATCGGCGGCGACTCGAACGAACTTCCGTCCAGCGCCGCCATGGACGTGTTAAATTATCGGGTGTGGACGAAACGGTCCTGATTAGAGTTTGACGCAGCGAGCACAGTGATATTTACTGGTGAAGCATAAATCCTATTATTTCCGATCTTCTTTCAAATCCATTGCAGGTTTTCGGTTGTTACGCTAATTGATTTTGGTTTGAGTTTAAAGACAACCGAAATGCATGGATTTCGGTGAGCATCGCCAAGGAGGCTTGCTGATAGTTTTCTGGAAGCCTAAGCTGATAAAGTGTCCTGTGGGAGCTCAATGAGGCTCAGTCGAGGTCCTCAGAAGGGAGAGGTCAATTCATGATCATCTAGAGATTGGTGCAGTCAAAATTGTAAATGCAGCAGACTTTCGGACACGTTGCATACAAGACCTGACTAAAAAAAATCATGCTAGGAGAGTTCAAACGACGCAAGAACGAGCATTGAACAATTACATTATAGACCCATGGACCCAAGGACATCGCATTGGAAGGTCACGTTGGTCAAGGGCGAAACATATGTGGTGTAAGTGGTGCTAGATCATACATGTCTCCATGCCAAATCGTAAGTTTTTTTGTGATATCCACTTTTTTCTCCTTGCTACATATAACTGAATGCGTTATTCGGATAAAAAAATGATATCCTGCTTTAAAATCAAATAATGATAAAACAATATGATGTGACAACACAGTTCTTCACCCGTTAACGCAGCCGGTCGTCACTGTTAAAAGTAATGTTGACAATGTTCGCAATATCGCAGCTTTTAATAGTCCAACCAAGACTGAGCCATGGCGGTAAAGTTATTTTACAAGCACCACTGTGGGTGGTTCGGGACGAAAACATGATTCTTGCATGTTCAGTGTTCATGGCTTTTCTGCGAACATGCACGCTCGACGCTCCTAGATGCACGCCTTTTTAGCCTAAACAATCCTGTTTTAAGCAGTCCAAGGTCGCTGTCAAAAGGTATGAGAAAAATATCCTTGGGGCTTGGATAATGGATACTCGAATGTTCTGCTAAAAAAAGCTTCCGCTGGACGTCCTGAATGCAGGACTCGGGTCTCGGGATGAATGGGCTCATCAAGCTTCCCTAGAATATGGATAGATCACTGGCGATTTTTAAAATCGTGAAAGAATAGCGTGCCTTAGCGGTAAAAATAGTCATCATGTAATTACGTCGGTAAATTAGTTCACAAATAAAAGGGTACGGAACTTTCGAGCCGAATTAGGAGCACATACTGTCACTAACTGCCTCTCGACTTGTGTGGCATTGACAATTTTGCTGCAGTTTTTGGGAGACAAGAAATATTCCGGTGCAGCATGCTGATGACCAATGACTGAGATAGTGACCAGTGCTTTGTGTTGTTGACCACTGACCAGGGACTGACCCAGTGCAGTATGTCAGTGCCCACGAATTGAGGCGGTGCACCATATTGGTCACTGGGGACTGACCCACTGGGTCACCCACTGGGTCCGACTCAGCGTAGTATGCCAGTGCCCATTGGGCAGGGCAGTATGTTGATGACTCGGTGCAGTGCGCCTGTGCCCACTGCCCGTTCCCTCTCGGCAGTGAGCGAGTCGTTGACCTGGGGACTGACCTGGTGTAGTTTGAAGTAGAGCCCGCAGGCGTTGCACACCGGCTCCCCACAGCTGTTACGGCGCCACAGCGTCGTGGTTGTGGTCTGGCAGTTGGCGCACGAGAGTCCGACGCGGCGAGCCGCCGCCGGGTTACTCTGGAACAGACCCGACTGCTGACGTTAGACAGACAGCTCTTCGACAGATGAGAGCGATGGGAGAGAGAGGATAGACGGGGTAGGCAGGGCAGAAGTCATTCACGCAGTTTGCGAGTCCGGGTGCGTTCTTAAAAAAAAAACGCACTTGACCATGCTTTACACAAATAATTAAATACACTTTAGAAAAGTAAGTGATTGAAACCAAGAGAGAAAATGAGCTGTTGCTGAATAACTTTAGAATTGCATGCATGGCTTTGCTTAGCTCCATGTTACCTATGGAACAGGTGGCAGCTGCCTCAATGAAACATGTTCAGTATTGTAAGACATGTTTATAAAGTCTGATGGCCAAGAGTTGCGAACGAAAATTATAATTAAAATCTAAATCTTTTTGTATTTCAGACGTTTCGACAACACTGTGTCATCGTCAGTAATTGATATAAAATGTTTCCTGAAGTCACAAATCACATTTTAAAAATAACATCAGCATTAAGAAATTACACATGGTAATGACATTTCGGTGTTTTTACATTCGATCACGTTCGTTCCTCACAAGCGTGCTCCGTTTCAGCAAGGATAATCTGGCTGTCGCTGCTGCCATCGAATAAAATCCCCCTCTTGTGTTAAGTGTGTTCTTGGTCTTGATGTGTGCAGCCTCTAGTGCCCTCCTGATATTTTTGTTCATACCTTTCTCTAAAATTTCAGCCCCTTCCCACCTTGGTAAGTGCCCGGCCTCATCCACATGAACCACTATCGCATTACTTAACACGTGCCCCCTCACGTCTCTTCTGTGTTCCCCGACACGGGTACCTAGGCCCCTACCTGTCTCGCCTACATATTGTTTTTCGCAAACAGCGCACGGTATCTGATAGACTATGCTACTTTCGTGATCCCTATCTTCGTCGCGTGCACCTTTTAAAATATCGCCACTTTTGTGTCCCGCACTTATCACCGTCTTGAATCCGGCCTGTTCAAGCTGTCGTGCTACCGTATCCACCTTTTCAAAATTGGGAATGCAGAGCAATCTACTCGATTTTTCTATTCTTGCGTTTTCTCTTTCATTAGTGTTTCGTTCACGAATCTTCTGGGCCTTTTTCTTCTGAGAAATGAGAAACCCTCTTGGATATTTGAGTTGCTGAAATCTTTCAAAAATGTGCTCCAGCTCGTCCTCGAGATATTCCGGGCTGCACACTCGGTAAGCGCGCAGGAAAAATCCTATTACAATGCCCCTCTTGTACCTCTCGTTGTGTCCAGAAAAATAGTGTATGTAGTCCTCTTTGCACGATGGCTTCCGGTATACCTTGTATTTCAAGTTTCGACCCTCTCTGATTATGAATGTGTCCAGAAAAGGAAGTTCACCGTTCATTTCATTTTCCACCGTAAATTGAATTTGAGCGTCTACCTGGTTGAGACTTTGCACTTTTTCTTCAAGTTTCATCTCTTCTGGGTACACTATGATCACGTCATCGACATAACGTAACCATACGGTTCCTTGGCCCATGATATTTAAGAAGTGTCGTTCTTCGAGCATTTCGAGATATAAACACGCAGCGACGGGACTGAGGGGTGACCCCATCGCCAGGCCAGAGTGTTGAAGGTATTCATCATCTTCAAATTTAAAGCTGTTGAAATGCATGCAGAGTGACACTGCTTCAACGTAGTCTTGTTTTGGAATTGGCAACTCTCCTTCATCCATTGTGTCCACCACCTCTTTGATTACGTCTAATGCCCCTTCTACCGGTACATTGGTGAAAAGGGATTTGACGTCCAGACTTGCCAGCCGTTTGTTCGCGAAGTCCTGCTGGGGGGATCCATGTGATCGCAAGGCACCTCGCAGTTGCGATCAAACGTAAGTTGAATCGGAACAGATATTGGAGGGATCCATCACATCGTAGGCTAAGTAGATACGCAAGTTGTATCGCAAATGGTGAAGATACGAACTAACTTTACGAATCTTCTCGGTCGATCGGAAGGCCGATCGTAGCGAATCTTTACCTCTTTCTCAAGAGAAAAATATAAGAAATTTTCAAAATTTTCACAAAACCGAAATAAATGTTAAACAAATATGGTTGATGAACACGTGTGCAAAATTTGAAGTCGATTTCTTCAAAAATGGCTGCGCTAGAGCGTTTTAAATTTACACGTTGAAAACGGTCACTTTCACGTCATTTTTGTAATTATTTTTTTTTTCAATTTTGAAGTTTAAAAAGTGTTTTGGGCAATTTTTCGCGTTAATTGCGAAAATCTGACCAAAACATGTATCGCACCATCAATGATCCGATACGCCATCAGAGGCCGCGCCGCAGACAGGTGGGCGCGGCGATACCTAGGCCGCGTGGGGGTTACACTGGTGTTCGGGAAGGGCTATGTCAACGCGAGGCAGGCCGCGGGGGAGCCGGTTGCGGCGCCGGTCCGTATTTGTCGGCGCCTAGCAGTGCAGCGGTGCGTTTATGGCGGAGGGAGGGGAAGCGGTGTAGTGTCGGCAAGGCCGCACACAGGAGAGGGCACACGGGCCTCCCCCCCATTCGAGTTGGGGCCCCTAATCTTTAGACCGCCGAAGACCATGTAAAATGAACTGAAATAATGATTAAAAAGACCGGGAGGGCCCATCTCGTTCCCCAGCAGGCCCATACGAGTCCATAAATGTCCAGTAGCGCAGCCAGGGGTATTGTGGTGAAATTTCAATGGCCCTCAAAAGACCTCAAAGGCCCACAGATGGGGTCACCGGGTCCTCAGATGGTCTCGAAGGGCCCTCGGTTAGCGTCAAATGGCCCTCATCTGGTGTCAAAGGGCCCTCAGATGGCCAAATGAAGGGCCACAAGATGGCCTCAAAGGGCCCTCAGATGGGTTCAAAGGGCTCTCAGCCAACGTTAAACCTACCTCAGAAGACCTTAAAGGGCGTCAAAGGGCCCTAAACCTGCGTCAGAGGGCCCTGAGCTCGCGTCAAACGACCCTCCGAAGGCCTTAAAGAGTCCTTAGCTTGTGTCAGAGGGCCCCCAGCTGGTGTCAGTGAGCCCTCCTCAGCTGGCGCCAAAAGTCCATCTGAAGGCCTCAAACGGTCGTCAGCTGGAGTACAACGGTCCTCAGATGCCGTCACGCGGCCCTCAAAAGCCTCAAGGAGCCCTTATAAGGTCTCAAAGGGCCCTCATTTGGCCTCAAAAGGCCCTCCGCTAGCGTTAACCGGACTTCAGAAGGCCTTAAAGGGCCCTTATCTGGTGTCAGAGGGCCCCCCGGCCCTCAGTTGGCGCGAAATGGCCATCAGAAGGCCTCAAACGGTCCGTAACTGGAGTCCAACCGCAACGGTCCTCAGGTGGCGTCAAGCGGCCCTCAAAAAGCCTCAAAGGCCGCTTAGAAGGCAGCAAAGGGCCCTCATATGCCCCCAAAGGGTCCTCTGCTGGCGTCAAACGGACCTCAGAAGGTCTCAAAGGGCGTCAAAGGGCCCTGAGCTCGTGTCAAATATAAAAGCGCCCTTAGTTGGTGTCAGGAGGCCCCCAGTAGGTGTCAGCGTGCCCTCAGCTGGTGTCAGAGAGCCCTCAGTTGGCATCTACTGGCCATCAGAAAGCCCCAAACGGTCCTCAGATGGCGTCCAACGGTCCTCAGCTGACGTTAAGAGGCCCTCAAAAAGGTCTCAAAGACCCCTCGGCTGCTGAATAGGCCCTTAGCCTCAAGGGAAACTCAAGAGACGTTAAACGGCCCTAAAAAGGCTTGAAAGGGCCCTCTGCTGGTGGCAAAGGGCTCGCATATGACATCAATAACAGCTTTGTCAAAAACGGACCTGAGAGACCTTGCCGGTCCCTGGTTATAAGGGACTCCTGTCTCTTGCAGTAACCTGAGTGGCCCACGTTTACTGAGGGGCCCCTGGTTATTGAAGGACCCCTGGTTATCAGAGGGTTCCCTGGTCACCTGGTGGGTCCCTGATCAATTGAAACCTCCCGATCATCTGAGCGCCCCCTGATTGCCTTGGTCTTGGCGTTGGCGTACAGTTTAAAGTCGTCGGCACACTGCGGCCTCCTCTTTCTCAACAAGTCCCTCTATTTCTTCTGCAGCGAGGGCGATTTCGTTAAAATACTCCTCCATCGCGAAGCCTCGTGCGCAGACGCAGTCTTCGGGGCGCTCGCTGCGCCAACTCTTGACAACTGACGGGCTCCAAATGGAACAGATGGACTCCGAAACGAACGTGGGAATGCCGACACATGATCCCTCCAAATTTACAGAGGAGGAGATGTCCCTGACAGCCCCTTTGCAATAGGGGTCACTTTTACACTATAGACGTATGGGGAATTCGACCTTATCGACATGGTACTACGAGGTCAGCTGATCTGCTTGGCATTTAAATCGTAGTAAAACTGGCATTTAAACGCTGCGAAACAACTTACGTACAACCACGGAATATATAGTCTACGACATGGAATGGACAGGAGCTTCGATTAGCATTGCCACGTGTGTAACCAAAAATCAAGGATTTGCCGGATGAATATCGCTATTAGTGAAGGATGCGGATGAATTTTTTTCCACGTGGGTTTACATTTTCATATAAATTTTCATATAAATTTTTCATATAGATTTTCTTAACAATCATTGAATGATTCATCTTCGTCGTGACCAAATGAAGTTGTGACTGTGACTTTGAAATGGTAACCGTATATTTTGTTGGGAAGTTTAGCGCAGATTGTTACTACAGCATTCATACATATTCGTTGCATTACCGTTTTAACATTGGTCTAAAATTAGAATGAAAATTAAAACGCGTTACTGTAAAATTTGTAAAGAGTGGTTTAGCGCAGCTAATGCGGCACGGCACTGCCAACGAAAACATCCGTGGCTGCCCGTGGCCGGGGTGGGCCGCCCTGGACGTCCAGAAAACCTTAATGCAGACTGCGAATCGCAAGCGCCGCTTAGAGCGACGGCTGCTGCTGACATATTGGCAGCCTCTGAGGCGGGCGTTAATCTGTCGCCGCTGGAGATGCTAGCTGCTGTCGCCGTCGCCGCCATCGCCAACGAAC